ATGATCGCGTAGAATTGGCCAGACTCATCTCCGGTTTCCCCCAGCTCCGGGGACTCGGAGAACGACGGAGCTTTCGGATCATTACGACTCCGTGGATCGTTTTTTCGGATTCTGAGTCATGCGCGCGCCGGGAACGGGCGAACCAAAAAGGCGGAAAATAAAATTTCTGCTTCCTGGGAGGACGGTTCGTGCATCGATTATAGTGCGAACTGTACCAGACACTGTTGCTAACCTTGTGTTCAACGCAAACTCTGTGAAAGGGAAAACAATGTTTTAAACGATTGCAAAGATCATCGAGGCAGATATTGACGAGGAAAAAGTTGGAAAAGAAAGTCATGTTTTCCTTTGGCCTTGAGATTTCGCGGAGGGACTATGAAGAACCAAAACACTTTGAGGATTCATCCAGTGATTAGCAATTATAGTTGCTTTTATAGTTATCTATTTTGTATCCCTTTAAATAAATCAAGTATGAATTGTCGACTATTATGTATATGCAAAATATTCAATTGGTCATTTCTTCAATTAACTAGTAAAATTGTTAACTTTGAAGAAAGTCCACGTTCTACTGGTGAGCGAATCTTGAATCTGGAATTTTGATGACCTAAATGGTCCCATGTTAAAAGTGTCCTCGACATTTGATTAAAAAATCGAAATATTTGGCTGTTGTTTTATAGCATTTCTAATGACGATACGATCAAGTGAAAATTGTATGAGAAACACCCTTCGCGTGTAACTAGAACGAATATGGTGTTGTTTTCAAATCACTATGTTTCGATTCAAGTTCGTTATTTGAGTTTTTCTTTTAAATCGTAACAGGGGATGATACGAATGATTAATAACGAGTGATCGTCAAGAGAAATGAATGTTCATATTCGTTGGTTCATTTTGGATTTCACGTTCATAGGTTGGATCGTATAACGAGATAGTGAGCTAACGGTACCTGGTCTTCTGTTGGCTAGAAGCCTCGCGGGAGATCTATGAAGTTGCAACTTTGTCCGAACGTGACTCGAGATGCATCCTCACCGCAAATGGCGTTCAATTTGACACGTGCAGTGCCTCACTTGTTGCACGAAATGCATTATCGATAGATTGATTTGTTTCGGGAATTGTCGGTAAGTAGATCAAGCAAACTTCATTCTATACAATTTTCTTCACACAAAGGTCATTCAAGTGAAATCATGATATAGTTACACGCTTGTCGATATAGTGGTTTTTTTTTTATGCTTGGAGCAAAGAATCCTCCCTTTTAAACTCCGTCAGCAGATTAAACAGGCAGAAACACACAATTTCTTAGCTTAATTTTCTATAGCTTTAGCTGTTAATTCATTTTGACACATTTTCCTCTAGAATTATTGATAGATAGTTGATAAATAGACTGTGGGTCTTTATGGATATTCATATTTTTATTAACAGAATTAATGAAAAGGGAGCTTTGCAGAGAGTTGTCTCAACCCCTAAATATAATAATTCGTCTTTCACTTCAACTGTTTCCTATATTTTTACATATTAAGTGCATTTTATAGTTTTTTAAGAATTAAAATTTTCCCATAAATGCATAAACATTCGCAGTCTATTTAGAAGCTATTGATAGTACGTTGTTTAAAAAGAAATCATAGCGAGTTTGGCCTTTGCTATCCTCCTGGATCGTCAACACTAGTTTGCTAATTTTATTTATGAATTTATTTCCAAAAATTGTTTGAAAATTCTAGTCCTCTTTCACAGGAACTTACTATCTATCATTTCTAATAATTCGTATCGTTGATTCCGAACTATAAATGAGAAAAATTCGTCCTTTCACCGAGAAAATGAATGTCCACGATTCATTCTATTTAGAAGCTATTGATAGTACGTTGTTTAAAAAGAAATCATAGCGAGTTTGGCCTTTGCTATCCTCCTGGATCGTCAACACTAGTTTGCTAATTTTATTTATGAATTTATTTCCAAAAATTGTTTGAAAATTCTAGTCCTCTTTCACAGGAACTTACTATCTATCATTTCTAATAATTCGTATCGTTGATTCCGAACTATAAATGAGAAAAATTCGTCCTTTCACCGAGAAAATGAATGTCCACGATTCATTCTATTGAGAAGCTATTGATAGTACGTTGTTTAAAATGAAATCATAGCGAGTTTGGCCTTTGCTATCCTCTTGGATCGTCAACACTAGTTTGCTAATTTTATTTATGAATTTATTTCCAAAAATTGTTTGAAAATTGTAGTCCTCTTTCACAGGAACTTACTATCTATCATTTCTAATAATTCGTATCGTTGAATCTGAACTATAAATGAGGAAAATTCGTCCTTTCACCGAGAAAATGAATGTCCACGATTCCATTGATAATTAGTTTAGGCGATAGTAAATCTCGATTAACAGCGAAGTAACCTAGATTCGATGTATACGTGTTGAAAGTGTCTGAATTGCCGGTGTACAGATTGTTCCGAGCAAACGTTAATATCTCATCCAGCGGAGCATATTTGTCTGCTAATTTCCCGCATTGGAAATAGCCGGGACTCTCTCTGAAGCTTAGCGGGGGATTGTATGAAGGATCTCGGAGCTTTGTATTCTTATCTGTGAGAAACGGGCAAAACAATGAATTAATTTGCATGTCGCGTATTACATAAATATCCGCGGCATGTATTATGTCCGCGGTGACAGACTTCGAGTCGAGACACAAGCTAATCTCGAACGTTCCTTGTATCCCGAACCTCGGATCCAACTGCTTTTTCCCCCGTCCTAAACAACGTCCCGTTTCTGCAGATGCCTGGGCTCTGCTTTTTTCACCCTTTCGCCACGTTTTTCGAGCATTTTACGCTTCTCAACTGCTTCCATCCACCGCGACCCGGAAAAATTTATCATAAATTAATATTATCTGTACTTGAACAAGTCCATATATTAATGGCCAAAACGACACGCTAAAAGAAATAGATAAACTGTATTTTCTTGCTGGTATACACCTGTCATACTGAACTTTTTAAAGGGCAAAAGTAGAGAACTATTTAAAAAGAAAATCCTAAAATGATCAAAGTATATTGTCATCTTAATTAGAACCATAATTAAGCAATAAATGGAAAGAGCTACGTTTCTGATGCTCTTGATCAAAATCATGCCAAAAACAACCGACTGTTGGCTGATTGCGGCCCCATGGATCGTGATTCGAGCGAATTCAATCGTAGTTACCTTCAGGAAACAACCATACAACTACTGGTTATCCACAATGGTCAGAACGATTACCTTTTATGGTCGATCGATTACTGCCATACTTAGCAAAGAGAATTAGCTGCAAGTTACAACAGTTATAGCTCTCTCTCTAAATATGCTATGTATATTTAAAATTATAAAATCAATCCTTCTCCCAGATTTTCTTTCATTTTTAATGCATATCGAAGGATCAATGTCGTAAGAAATCGCTATTTCACTAATAGCTGATTTTATTTAAGTCCTCGATAGTGATATAGAAAGACCATATTTTCCATTCAAAATATTTATTTAAAATTTCATTTATTTATCGATAGTTTTAGATATTAAAGTGTCGAAACTAAAGAATTAGATTTGGAAATATGCAAGACGCGATGGCGATAAAACTATTTGTAATTTATGTGTCGCGGAATCTTTGTAACGTCCGAGCAGCTCATAAATAAATCTTCCAGTATAATGTATTTTAGTACTTGTTCAATATTAATAACCCACATATTCGTGTCCAAAGCGAACTCGAACATCCACCTATAATTTGTTTATCGACAATTTTAAATAACAAATTATGTTGGTTGCACAGTTTAGTACACATTCGGAAAAACTCTATCGGGAATGACAAAACATTTCAAAATTGCAATGGAATACCAAGACAACACAGAGGGATTCTAGAGACCAAAATAAGACGAAAATCAACAATACCAATTTCTTGATGGAGACTTCGTTAAAAAGTTATTAACAATTAAATTCAAAAATTTCAAATCTTTCTGGAAAAATTATTTTCGGTTGCGGGGGTCAATTACAATCATTTTTTATCATTAGACATACCCGTGAAATCCTGCCCACTTTCGAGAAAAAAAATAGAGAAGGTGTGAAATTATTCGACAAAATTAAAAAATTGAAAATCGTTCTAAAAAAATTATTTTCGGTTGCGGGGGTCAATTACAATCATTTTTTATCATTACACATACCCCCGAAATCGTACGCACTTTCGAGAAAAAAAATCGAGTAGGTGCTGAAATTTTTCGGTGAGAAAAAATATTTCAAATCGTTCTAAAAAAATTATTTTCGGTTGCGGGGGTCAATTACAATCATTTTTTATCATTACACATACCACCGAAATCGTACGCATTTTCGAGAAAAAAAATAGAGAAGGTGTGAAATTATTCGACAAAATTAAAAAATTGCAAATCGTTGTGGAAAAATTATTTTCGGTTGCGGGGGTCAACTACAATCATTTTTGGTGAATAGACATACCCCCGAAATCTTGCGCATTTTCGAGAAAAAAATTCAGTAAGGGCGGCACTTTAAACGTTAATAACTTTTTAACGAAGCTTCCATCAACAAATTGGTATTCTTGATTTTTGTCTTATTTTGGCCTCTAGAATCCCCCATTAAATATCAAGATCCTTAATCCAGAAATATTTATATTTTTACCAGAAAATTTTCTTCTAAAAAAATACTCTGTATCATAGGAAAAACAACCAATCACTGATTGTATAGTACGTATAATAGTTGTCTATTATTTACGTAGGAGATGGTAAGAACAGTTGCTTGTTCATATCTAAGAAAAAAGTTTGAAGCAATAAGAGTGGCGTGGAATTGTTGGTGAAGAAAACGAGTAACCGATCACCCTTCGCGAAGCGAACCACGCGACGCGGATGATGCAGGAGGGGTCATCGAAAGGCGTTCGTCAAACGTCAACGTGTAGCGGAGAGTGTGCGCTCACGGTCACGGAGCGGAGAGATAAGCGGCGTAGGTCAAGAGATCGCGAGTAGGTTTGGCGAAAAGGCAAGAGGTCGAAACGTACCTGTCATACGCCGTTCGTCCTTTCCTTGGCTGTCTTCTCCTTCCCACTCTTTCTCTCTCTCTCTGCCTGTTTTGTCAGGGCCATGCGTCATCGACGCAGAGTCGTTTGCGCTTTGGTAGAACGCGAACGATGCCGAAGAAAGACCGCACCAGGACCAGTGCAGACAGTAGCGAGCAAGCACCGTGTGCCGAGATATTTGGCGGGCTCGAAAATAGCAACAGCGTTGTCGTCCTCTATGGTACTTGCACTCTCTCTTCTTCTTCTTCTTCTTCTGCTGCTGCTGCTGCTGCTGCTGCTTCTTCTGCTTCTTCTTCTTCTTCTTCTTGGTCCGCGCGCCACTGGCTAGGCTCGCGACGCCCGGTAACTCGCTCGGTTGCTCCACCAGTTCTCACTTTTATATACCACGCGCTCGCTGCTGCTACTGCTGCTGCTGCTTGTTGTCACTTGACCGCTCTTCGATCCTCTGTCGTTCGGTCACCAGGTGCAATGTATCTTTGGATGCAGCGAGCATCACTCGCGACGCGATACCGTGACAAAAATTGTCCTAACTTGGACCTATCATTATCGAGATTCGTGACCTGGCAGTTGGCTCGTCGATATACGATCATCAATAACGCTGGTCATTCCGAGTCGAATACGCAGTCAGGCTAACCGCACTTTTAACATACCGCTAGCACCGATCCTGGCCAGCACGGGCATGTCTCATCGAAGCAAACCTGATAATGGTGAACGCGAACGGAGAACACTGGCTCCAAAGTCGCTGGAATCGTTCACCTGTCGCGATATCGTTCCACAGCTAACCAAGAAAATTTCGTGTATCGGCGTGTTCCATTCGATCCCTCGCGGTCTCGACCCTCGGATCGCACGTGCACGCGGCTCGAAACGCCGTAATCCCGGCGAACAAATCGAGAAAGAAAGAAACAGATCCTCGCGGCTCCGCGGTTCGCGCGCGACTGACCGAGGGCGAGAGTCGTTATTGGGAGCAGAGCGCAGAGCGCCGAGCGGTGAAGTCTGTTCGTCCCTCTCTCTCTCTGCAACGAACAGTCAGCCGCGTTCCGTCTCTCTTCGACCCGTTGCATCCCACCTATCTCGACGCTCGTCGCGCTAGTATAGTTGCTGGTTGTCGTTCTCGCTCCATCTCCCCCTCTTTCCCCGTCTCGAGGTCTCTCCTTCTAGGCGTGTCGGTGTCTCTGTCGGTTGACCGGGGATCGCGGTGGGGTTCTTCGTCGTTCGGTTTCACTCTCTCGTTCGGTCAGACGCTCACTCTCGGCTCCCGTTCGACGCGGAGCAGGCGCGAAACGAACGAAACCGAAACTTTAGCTCGGCTGTCGCCTCCTCCGGTCTCTTCCTGCGCTGCTCCCTCTTGCGCTCGCTCTGCCCTCTTCTCCCTCGCTTCTGCACCCTCGTCTCCGCGTCTCCGCGTCTCCGCGAGGCTACGCGTAGGCCTCGTTCGAGCCCGAAGACGCTGTCCGAAACTGGTTGGAGAGATGGACCGCCACTCGTTTCGGCATCGTAATCAACTGGCCAGACTGCTGTTCCACACGGTCGGGCCATCCCCTCCGCGATCCACGTTCTCACCCTACTTTTGCCCAACCCCTTCCCTTCTTTTCTGCGTTCCAGACGAATCTCGAACCAAGGGAATGAGTCCCCGATGCGCGCGCGTTTACGCGGCCCTACGAGATCGGGATCCGAATCCTGGCAGCTGCCACCATTCCTACCACGATCCCCCCTCTCTCTCCTCTTTTCAATGGATCCTATTGCCCGTTTTTGCGCGACTCTCCTAACTGTTTGCCCTTGAAATCTCTAGCGCGAGGCTCTCTTTAACCGAATTACGGGACTAGTCGCCGTACAGAAACCTCGGGCAAAAAAAACCGTAGAATTCGAGTGAAAGCGGCGTGTTGTAATGACGAGCATCGCCTCGACATCGCCTCGAAACTGACCGAAGTTCGCGTAAGGCTAGATCCACGATACGGTCACTCTACGATCAACAGGCCATTCTAGTCGAAACGTAAATTTTTTTCCGTTCGTCATACTTTGCCAAAAACTATGTACATATATGACGTTTATTTTTACCTGGGTTTTCGATCGTTCTTTTCTCACAGTGTGTAGAAATAGTCACAAATAGAAAATTCTTTATCAGACTAGTCTGACGATGGCACTAACTAATATAATACGAAGAAAGTTAATCACAAACTAACCTCTACTGATTATTTTTTTATCGTAGTCGTTTAAATATTTTGGTCCTCTATTTATTCGTGTATTTGTGGTTATGTTTTTCATTGTAAAATGTTCTATTACAATTACAACTATAACAATTTATATTTCTTATTGTAATACGAAGATGACTGAAATTATGAATTGAAAGATATTGAAAGGTTACAAGCACGAAATGTAATGAATCGATCGAGGCGCGCATTTGACATGCCTAACATAACCTAACATAACCTGATATCGAGGATCAGCGAATTTTTCGATTGTTTTTATTTCCAACGACTGTCGATCGAACGAAAGAGCGACGGTGAACGCAAAGGTACTACCGCGATGAAAGTTCTCGTAGAAAGTGCAAGAAAGTTGAGTGATTTCCTAGCTAAGATCAAATTACTTCCGATAGTACGGCAATGGAATTCAATTTCATTTTGTGTTCCCAATCGTAATCACTGATATTGTCCTTTGCGGTATTTTTTCAGACCGCAAGAACCGTGTTCGTTGGCTGTCTCTATTATCCGGAAGTTCCGAGCAATTTCGCCTTTGGATTCTACTCGAAGGTCCTTACGTAATTGCTAGCGTAACGAGACTCTTTCCTGCACCCAACAAACAAGTAGAAATTAACTCCTCCGAGAGGGGCGCGCGTAAAATGGCTCCAAAATGGCTTCCATTGTAACTTGAAAAGGTGATATAGAAATAAATCAATTTTATAGAATAGTGTTTTTAATTGTACCCCAAAATTCTAGACATTTTTCTCGAAACGATAATCTTCGATGTAAATTTGAAATTCCAATATATTAATTAGGCATAACAAATTTTTAATTATTCTATTTGTTAAATATTTATTATGTTATATGGAATGTTTAGCCATAAAATGAATAACCGTCAGCTAAAATTGTTGAATGTTTCTATTTTTTGAAATTGAACATTTTTATTAATTTTTTTGTTTTGTATGTATTAAGTAACGGGATAGGCAATGTATCATTGCACCTATACTAAAAATTATAAATTGCGTGAAATTTTTAAACCAATATGGCAGACAGGAAGTGAATCGAATCTCGAAGATGTTTTGCAATATTAGTGAATCGATTCGTGCGATGGTTAAAGTTTCGGGACAGGATGATTTCCAGCAACAAACATTTCCTCTGTTCCCACAATAACGTTGTCAATTGTCCCTTATCAACATTAATGCAACCTCCACTCGTAGAATATCGTGCACTTGCAGTTGCCAAGCGACATGAATGGATTCATTATAAACCATGCGAATCGGAGTTTTCGATATTCTTCGTCGGCGATGTTAATAAGACCAGACGTTAAACGGCATAAAATGGAAAGTGTTATTCGTGCGAGCAGCGAACGTGAAAATGAGATCGATTTCTCAATGTTCGAGTGTGTAGAACTTACGAGCTAAATAATTTATGCGAACACTCTACTCGCGACAATTTATTATATTCCTTCAATTTATTATATTTACCCGAATTTCGAAACGTACAATTATACCACACTAAAAATAGCAAATTAACGTTGATTGTTTTATCGTTAACGTACAATGTTTTTCAGCCTAGAATTTGCTACATTTTATTCGAAACAAAATCACAAGTATTTTTATAATAAAAGAGAATTTTTACCAGAAAATATTCTGTGTTTATTTATTCGAATCGATCAACTTCCACCATTAGGAACGTTATGAAAATTGATTAGATTTTCTGAAAGTATCCTTGAAAACATATTAACGTACATAAAACTTTAAGGAGAAAAGCTTGGTGCTCTATCGAAATAATGGAAAAATTTTCTTTGCATTTACAAAAAGTTAAATTATTTATTCAAGTGCATCGTCTGGCAAATTTCAACATATTTTAAAAATTTCAAAATTTTAATAAAAAGGAAATGCATTAAATTTGCATTGAACAAACGAACCCCTTTCACTTTTTTTGAAAATGAAAATAAAAATAAAATATTGTACGTTAAATTCGCATCGTTGATAGAATAAAACGTTGTTTGTATTCCTGATTGTGGTATTTTCTAAATCTCTGGTGACTAGCCTAATCATGGACGGGGACAATAGCGAGAAATAATAGCAGACGCACGAACCGCGTGCTCGTTCGACTCAAAATATTCGCAATAAAACGGACATAACTTTACGAGCCTTCTGTCTGCATCATGGCGCGATGGATTCGCGTGGCGATTGGCATTCAGCTCATCCTGCTGCGGCAAAATGCGTTCGTTCGTACACGCATACGTGCATCCCGGTGCACGTAACGCCAGCAAAACACGCGTCGACGTAACACACGCCGTATACAGGGTGTTCGGGTACAGGTGTTACAAAAATTAAGGGTTGATTTTACATGGTAAATCAACCATCACCAAATTCCATTTCAACCTTCCTCCACGAGTCATTAATCCCCTGAAAATGTACGATCGAGTCGTGCAAGTTACTTGATCTTACCACCACGAAAGCAGAATAGTTAACGTTTTTATCAATTTTATTTCGAATATATACTTAAAAAATTACTTTTTAAACCTTCGTAAAAATCTGTAAGTCGAATATGAAATTGGAAAAGCAAGCGTCGAGCTAATATACCGAGAATAAAAATAGATACGAGGATAGGAGAAGAGAGAAATCTAAGCAATAAAATGAATTAATTTTTTCATCTGGATCTTTCGTACTTTTTCATTTTAAATTTACTTTTTTGCTAAAATAAGCTTTTAAAATTTCAGGCGTCTGCAGTCGAACACCCTGTATACGTCCCTTTCATCCACACACGGTTCGATTTACGGGCAGATATGCGTCGCGACGCGACGCAACGCGGCGGCACGACGTGCGAGAAACCGACGGTACCGTTATACGAACACTGTCGTCAGAATCTTCTATAGACCGACGAACGGAACACGGTGGATCCTAGTCCGAACAACGACTGATCAAACGTCCAAACTCTTCGCCAGCAATATTGCAAAATTTTCACTTATTTCCGATCAAAGTTATTAACTATCATACACACGCAATCTTTTAAACCTTTTTTTCTCTTGGTTCCTTCGACCTTTAATAATAAAAAATACTGAAAATAAAACAACACTTGTACGAAATTAAAAATCTGGCAACTGGAAATGAACAGTGAAATGAATTTCAGGTCAAACATGGCCGCCGTTCACTGCGATCCCAGAATATTTCTTTAATGTTTAGTGAAAATAAAAGGAAACTTTCGAGTAAAATATTTTATATACCGTTCAGTATTGAAACTAAACTAGACCACTATGGTGTTATGTTATGAATATGTTGTTTAGAATATACAGTGAGTGTAAAAAGTATTCGTACTTCCTTGAATCGTGGACCTCGGTCTATTTAAAACTTTAGAAATTTCACTCAGTGTTTTACACTTATTATGTAAATTTATAACAATTTTCCTTTCTTCTTCAGAGGTTTCCTTGCGTTTTCGTCCCATTTTACTGATAATTTCGTTGATAATACTTAGGATACTACCTATACCGACAGCGTCACCAGACATACTGATGCTAAGTATGTTTACATATCATGGATTATCTTGTAATCGTTCTGTGTGGAATGTTACGAATCAAAGACTGTACGAATACTTATTACGCGTATATTTCACGCCAATTTACTGGAAATTTGTTAATATTTTCATAATAAATACAAACAAATAATTTGTTGTAATGACATTTGTTCCAGAGACCTCCAAGAACACGCATGCATGTTTTTGTTAACATACTTTTGTAATAAACAAAGTTCTGCAAAGTTTTTGTTCAAATTGACTAATGTACGAATACTTTTTACACTCACTGTATTTATCGATTAGTAACGTAATATATTGCAATCGTTATTTTTTCGAGTCCTTGATATATCAACGTTATTAAGTATGCTTGTGATCATGATCTTGTTGGAAATAGTAGTTTTCCCCAAGATTTAATTTTTCCACACTTTTTTTTAAGTTTTCTATCAAAATATTTAAACATACAAATTTATCCATAATACCGTCTATAAAAACTAGTTCTCCAAGTCTGGAGGAACTCGTACAACCCCATACTAATACACTACCACCCCCGTGTTTAACAGTCGAGACTATGTTATGCGAATCCCTAACTAACTCGGTATTACGCTTTCGCCATATTCTTATTTCACCATCAGATTTAAAAATATTAAATTTACTTTCGTCAGAGAAGAGTATTCTATTCCAAAATTCTAAATTACGTACGTTTTACGTACATTTCTGCAAACTCTAATCTGTTTTTTCGATTAATTTTGCTGATCAATGGTTTTCTTCTAGCCACTCTTGAATTGTGCACTTTTAAGAACTCCCTGGATAGTTACGGGATGTACATCTA